TATATCTATCTCTTAGGCTTTTACCCTTTTTGGATCAAATATGTACCAACACAGAGTAATGATATCTTTAAATGTCCGTATCATTAAAAACTATTAAGTGGTTAGACTTAAACATGTCAACAGCTTAACTATCTTAACTTGCTCAGCAAATTTGTTTGCAAAATGCTGCTATGAAAACTTGAGCAGAGTGTTTCCTCATGTCTATTATAGTGCTCCTTGTGGCCGTGCTGAGAACTGCACAAGTGCAACGTGCGCTTCCATCTGACACATTTCAGAATCCAATTTGCATTCACATACTTGCCTAGTAAGTTTCAGGCCTTATACGCACCTGAGCCACAGAGATCCACTTCTCAATCATCTTTGCCCTGTGTGTAGGGCCGCTGCGAGTGCAGGATGGGGAACCGGGAGGGGATGTGGAAGGAGGGCACAGCAGAGAGGTGATAACGCAGTTAGTGACGGCATTGAACTGGGCAATGGTGGCACGGACCGTAGGCGCTAGATTTCGATTCTCTTTCTTGTCCCTCTGAGACCAAATGCAGCCAAGGCAGTGAAATGGAACCACTTTGACAAAGAGCTCCTGATAAAGAAACATAAGCAGATGAATAAAAGTAGGCCTTAAATAAAAACTAGCCTCAGTATGTAAACCTTGACACCTACAGCATCTAATAGTGTGAGCTGCTCAGCAATGTCTCGTGCAGGGAAGACCAGTACATCCCCTGTCTCTTCTATGTCCTGTCTGTCCGTGGCGTCTTCAGTTGCCTGATTCTCTACAGCAGTTGAGCTGGTTTCTGCTGATGTATCTGTGTGCTTGTCTGTTGAGTCATAAGAAGTTATTTAGCGTTGATTTTTTGATGTGTGTGCACATACAAGCTAAATTAGCTATATTTTAAGACTTGCCTTCCGTCTGAAATTTTTTTAGAAGTGCATCGGCTTGATGAACCAGACGTCTGAAACAGAGGCGATGACGCAGATGAATACAGAGCAGACGAAGAGCCTGGTGACCTGGAGAATCCCGAAGGTCCTCTTGATACTCGTCTAACCATAGCCGGATCAGATGAGGCAGAGAACTGCGCACACACACACACACACACACACACACACACACACTCTTTGTCAGCATTCTTTCAGACTAATTAACGAAGCTCTGAGAATTAGAATGAATAATCAAGATGAGTAACCAGTTTAACTTTACTAATAATAGATAATGATTGCACTGGACAACCAGTTTCAATTTAAGGTTCATTATTGAACAACATCTGACCAGAGAATATAACAACTGATAAGTCAGAATCAAATATTCCAAGACATTCCTAAACACGTGGATTCAACTCACCTTCTAACGCAGACACTGTTGTCCAGATTGGTGACCGTGTCCTCTCTACAGAGACAAATAAGTAAGTCTAAAGTTAATATTCAAAACATTCCTAAAACTCTTCCAAAAGAAGCTTTAGGATTACGATCACTGAAACAATTTCTGACACAAATGTGTCACAAGTGCTCTTTCAAGGTCTATTACCTTTATTTATGTTTCAACAAAACACAAAGGACGCTCATGGTTCAACAAAAGCACCTCTGACGTGAGACAAGTCAAGTGAAACCTGTTTTACAAAGTGAGGTGTCCTCCATTCCACTGCGTCACTGATTTGTATGGTGTGATAATGGACTGTCACAATTCCACAGTAATCAAAGGTGTCTCTGGGAAATACTCTGCCTCATACTGAATTTAGAAATTTGGGCTTCCCCCTTCATTTGATTATTCACAGTCACTGAGCCTTGTAGAATGTATGCCGTGTAAATTCCCTCATATATAAATACATGAGGGACGGCTGTGTCTGAAACAGAAGTCAGTCAATGACTTTATGAAGGTACCGCCAAAGGAAACTGACAGGCCTGCAATGCACATAACGTCATGTCTAACGTGCTAAGACATTCAAAACTTGACATTTTTATTCCTTCTACCAACAGTGAAGGCACAGGTTTGCAGTATATCACCAGATGAAGGTATGATGGAATGTTATGGAAACATTAAATTCGGAGGTACCTTGATGTCATTCTTCCTCCATTCAGGTTTTGGAAACAGCCCATATGAGTTATAACTGTCACTGACGCACAATAAAAACATGACTAGCTACAGTTTATATATAAAGCAACATGGGACCTACATTTTGGTTCATTCCTCCTAGAATTATATGGTATTTGATGGAACAAATGTGGAATACTTTTATGGTTCTTATTGGAGCATGACAGCCCTAGCTGCTGTTCACTTTTACTGTACAGAAAACAGAAGCGTAAACATTGTGCTAAACATCTATTTTTGAATTTCATATGAAAAAAACGAATTATTGTTTGGGTAGACTATACCTATATATCATAAAAAAAATATAGTCAAATGTTTAAGAAAGACAAATGTTTATGAAAATGCGCTTTAGGCTCACCGAGGCTGCATTTATTTGATCAAAAATACAGTTAAAACCGTAATTTTGTGAAATATTACAATTTAAAATAACTGTTTTCTATGTGAATATATTTTAAAATGTAATTTATTCCTTTAATGCAAAGCTAAATTTTCAACATCATTACTCCAGTAATTAGTGTCTTATGATCCTTCAGGAATCATTCTAATATGCTGATTTGGTGCTTAATATTTTTGTGGAAACGTGAAACATTTTTCAGGATTTTCTGATGAACAGAACATTCATAATAACAGCATTTATTAGCTAGAAATCTTTTGTAACATTGTCTTAATAAATGTCTTTACTGACACTTTTGATACATTTTATGTGTCCTTGCTGAATACAAGTATTAGTTTCTTTAAAAAAAATCATACTGGCACTAAACTTTTGAACAGTAATGTAAATGTTAGCTTAATGTCGCTATAACCATCTGAGACAGCAATTATACTCTTTAAATTAGCATTTATGCTCACCTTTGAAACAGGAGTTCTATGAGAGCATTTGTGCAGGTAAAGGCTCTGTAGGTGGAGAGGAAGATTTGCATGTATTCTGGGTCAGGGCACTCCGGGTTCACCAATTCTGTGACAAGACGCTCCAGAATGGCTGCTTTAAGCCTGCGGACCTTCTGTGTGCGGTACTGCATGAAGCCAAAGGCAGAAGAGTTCTCAGCCGCATCAGGTGGGGGTTGGATGGGTTCTCGGTGAAGAGTGATGCCATAAATGGCCCCGTCTTCCACCTCCTCTCCCCACTCCTGCACCGGGTCCTGCACAAACAGATCATCAGACTATACACCTTGAACCTATCATTAAGCTTGATATGATGCCTACTGCAACGCTATGAAACAAACACATTGTCATCAAAAAGATTCTATTTTGCAGTCCTGATACTGCAGCATTTATTTTAGAAAACACAAAAAAGGTGCTAGACACTGACCTAAAATTTCACCTGTCCAGGAAGAAATATACAAAACAGGAGCTCTTTGGAAAATACAGGCAAATTGTTATCCAAATTACAAGTCAGGAGGAGTGAACACATTTTATCTTCACTAGCCTGAGAAGACAATACATTGTACATCACATTTTCTTTCTTAGCAGATGCTTTTGCTTTTTCAACAAAATCATGTACAATACAGAGTTCAGATCATGTTATAAGCAAATACACCAAATATTTTTACAGTATTAAAAATAATAACACCACTGTTTAATGATGCCCACACAAGAAGGGCATTTTCATTTTAAGGAAAGAAGAGAAATCATTTAACGTGTTTCATGGTGGCAAACCATAACTAATTGACACCAAAAATACTTTCTTTACAAAAATCCTCTTTGGTGGTAAATGAAGCCATGATTATTTGCATAGCAAATACCATATCCCACAATGAATAACAGCTGTGGGCGAATAAAAAAAACCCTGATGATTTTAAACAAAGACAGACTGTGTAACACACTGGAGTAAATTAAGTCCAGTGTTTTCTCTTCCAGGCAAAATACGGTTGTTGTTGTTAACTAATTCAGATGTGACCAATATTAGATGAGCTCATAACAACTGGCTTGAGGACAAATTAGCATAATGGTGTCATCTGTCACTGATTCTTGAGACACAGGATGTCCAACGATTTATATGCCATTAGTTAAAAAAAAAATTCCACACTGAAATCAATCATAGAATTCAACTAGAATGTTTTAACACCGCATTTATTCGATTTTTTTAATAATACAAAATTGTATTAGCTATAAGATCACCTATCCTCAGATATAAAATACACAACCATTCAGAAGTTTGGGGTCAGTTTCTTTAAATAAGAAATTAATAATTTTATTGAGCAAGGAGGCATTACAATTATCAAAAGGTGACAGTGATTTGTTTATAATAATTGTCTTTTTGAACTTTCTATTCATCAAAGAACCGTGAAAAAACTATCACAGTTTCAAAAAAATATAAAGCAGCACATTTTCAACATTGATAATAATAAAAGTTTCTTTTAGCACTTAATCAGCATATTAGAATGATTTCTGAAAGATTACTAAAAAACTGAAGCAATGGCTGATGAAAATTCAGCATTACCACAACAGAAACAAATGACAATTCATAATATACAGTATTTGAATATACAGCTGTTTTAAATTGTAATAATATTTCAAAATATTACTGTTTTACTATATTCTTGATCCTTAAGTACAAAAGACATCTTTGAACATAAAAACTTACTGACCCCAAACTTTTGAACGATAGTGTATATTAACTTATATTAACTAAGAAAAACACATTGTTTAATTTTCAATAAAAAATTTTTTTAAAACACTTCTAATTTGCCCTGACAAAGGGAAGAGGTGAATATTAAAAATTAGACCTTAAATGTGACGTAGGATATTGTTATCAATTTTTTTAATAAGTTGTGACAGGATTTACAACTATGTCAACCATCAAGTCTCCATCACGTATTTTATTTATTTATTCAGATAATTTCCCTTATTTAAAGCAGGACCTATTAGTATAGCAGCAACACCAGAAAATATGCTGCTGTATTGAATACACATGTGGCATGTAAAATATGTAAGCTGTCAAGTCAATCACTGCTGTGCCATGTTTTGTTCTAAGCCTCAAGAATCACTGCTCTGTGCCAAAAGCTCAATGAATATCACAGAACATGCATAATATGCAAACCACACATTTGGAAAAGGTTGTGCTTCGAAGTAAACCAAGGGCAGTCTATTCCTCTAACAAATCAACTGCTGTGAAAATCACAAGTGCATTCTTCCCAGAAACTCCAGTCAAGCAAAACAGAGAGCTTTCCAAGCCAAAGCCCTGCGTCTCCTCTAAAACTGTGCCATGGAACAAAACACAGGGAATGATTGGGGGAGGGAAAGCTGAAACTATCACAGGTCAACAGTGTTGGGGGTAACACATTACAAGTAACGCAAGTTACTTTTTTTTTCCAATTTATTGATTGACATCTCTCCTGTCCCCATGTTGAGAGAAATCAGAAGATGTTACTGTAGATCTAAAATAAATATGAATATGCATTAATTCATCTCACTCACAAAAAAAAAACAAAAAACGCAGATTCAGTATTCCTCAAAATGAATAAAAATAATGCAACTCAGAATATGACGCGAACCTGCAATAATTAAATGTTAAACAACACAAATATCCTTATGTATTTAATCCCATTCTTATTAACCAATGTCTTTGCTTCTGACCTTCGATGATCCAGTTTAACCGTAATAATAAGCAAAAATTACTCTAGAAAACATTGTAACGCATTACTTTCCATAAAAAGTAACTAAGTACCGTAATTAGTAACTTTTTTATGGAGTAACGCAATATTGTAATGCACTACTTTTAAAAGCAACTTTCCCCAACACTGCAGGTCAGCTGTGAAACAGGACACTGTAAATATCTTCAATCTCCAGGTGGGTCTGAGAACAAACACAAAATCAGTTCTATTGTGAGACTCCAGAGGGAAAAGTGAAGTGCACCACACCCTCCCCTCAGCACGCATTACATGTAACACCTCTGGTCAACAGCCGATTAAACGCTTTCCTAAAACCAATATCACGACTAATTGTAAACCCATTGAGTTTTTGTGACAGTACTGGGATGTCCGGAAAAGAAAGAACAGGAAATACTGCATTTTCTCTGGCATTAAAATGAAGAGAAACAATAACACTGTGCGCCGCGCGACACACTGTAAAAGTTACAACAAATCGCGTTTGCAAAGTCACTTTTTCTTTAGTCATTCTAACCTGTAAAATAATATTAAACAGAATTAATGTCGTTTATTGAAATAGCTTAATTAAACAAGCGACTTACCATAGTGAACTCCCATTTTCCCATGTCTTCAGCTCTCTATTTCCTCAGCCGTCTGATCAAGCAGTGTAATAATTGTTTAGACTTTCCATTAGCGCAGCAAAAAAACGTTGCAAACTATATTCCTTAGTCAGCTGCTCGTGTCAAACTTGACTGTCATGTCTAGAGAGCTGCTGGAAATGGGTAACTTTGCGAAGCGAGGTTTAATTAAGCACTCCAGCGACGATAAAATCAACTTACAGTACATTTCATACAGTACTACCTTTATTGTCATCAAATATATAGTGGTCTAAAGGAAAATGAAATCCGTGACCGCAGAAAATTATTACCTTTATGATTATGTCTGTGTTTTAGCTGTCTATATAGCACACAGCGCACCTGTCAAGCGCTTTAAACTGCAGTGGGTTGGTCTCTATATGTAGACAAGTACGTCTAGTATGACGTACAGGGGGCGCTCATTAATATTAATTAGAAAATCCGGCGCCTCATAGTACTATGGTGAAGGCTTAATTTATGAATATTAATTACGTTGCGTGGAACCTCTAGAAGTTCACCAAGCGACTTCGCATTGCTGAATTAATATTCATAATCTAAGCCTTAGGCATAGTAGGATTCATACTGTCAAGTGTTGGAAGTATGGAAATCCACATTACATCATTTTAAATTGAAAATTAAGATTATGATTGAAATACTTTATTTTACCATGTAATTCTGGGAGTTCCCGGTATGAGAATTTGGGCAAAATACAGGACTAGACATTGAACTAAATGTATACACAATTAAAGCAGCATCTAATTTATAAACAACTCATTCAAACATACAATTGATAATTTACATTTTTTCTCTTTGTTAGTTATAAAGCAGTCCAAACGTCTAAGACTAAGTGAAATACTTTCATTTAGCAACACAATTTTTTATATTATCAGTTTAACAATCAGAGGAAGTAAATGAAATCTGACTGTTTGTCCAAATGTATTCCCATGTCATTTTTTTTTTAATTAGTGCCTATCGTGCAAAATAATGTGGAATCTTAAATATTTCTTTAGTAGTTTTACATCATGATGTTTCATTGTTTAGGTCAAGGTTTAAATCGCATTGTACTGATCCACTGGCAAATAAAACTGCAGCCCATTTTATCCAGGAAAAGTACAAATGACTCAGACGCCACTATGCAGATGCTTAAATGAATAATGGTGAAAATTGTATGAAATGCCTATTTACAAAGCCCATACACACACACTCTGAATGAATGATACAATGAGCAGTTTGTTGGTTTCTGGGTATAGTTCATTAATGTCTTTCTGTTCTCTCTGACGTAGACCTGTGAATGTGCAATGGCATCCAAGCAGGCCACCCCACGCTCACTGAGACACTACAACATAACAATAGGTGACGCACACTACTGAGCTCTTATTGAGAGACCACAATCATCACGATAAAAGTATTTAAGCATATCCACTAACAATACCACTCATTACTAAGACAGAGGTCACATGCTGATGTGTGTGCATTCACACACTCCAACAAAAATCCCTTCTACTTCATTTTAAATTAAAATACTTCATTTCAACATCAAATTCACTGGTGCAACAAAGTCTTAATGCCAGGTAGAATAGCTTAAAAAAAATGTACATGCCAGCAATGTTAAAATATTTTTCATTATTGAAATGCTTGGTAATATTCTTGTCAGGTAATACCTATGGTAGTAGATACATTTTAAACATTTAAACAATTTTTAACCATGTGGGTGTGATGTGATACCTAAACCACCTTTTCCCCTTAACCATAATTTTATTTTTGGTTTAGGTTTATTTATGAAAACATACACTAATGCCCAGTTTTTTGTTTTTTTTTGGGGTCAGTAAGATTTTAATTAATGATTAATTTTTTTAAAGACATTTATTTGATCAAAATAGACTAAAACAGTAATATTGAGAAATATTATTACAATTTAAAATAACTGTTTTCTATGTGAATTTATTATAAATTTAATTTTAAATTTAAATTTTCAGCAGCCATTACTCTAGTCTTCAGTGTCACATGATCTTTCTTATATGTTGATTTGCTCAAGAAACATTTCTTATTATTATCAATATTGAAAACAGTTGTGCTGCTTACTATTTTTGTGGAAACAGTGATACATTTGATCAAGATTATCATAAATCTTTTGTAACATTATAAATGCTTCACAGTCACTTTTGATCAATTTAATGTGTTCTTGCTTAATAAAGGTATTAATTTATTTGAAAAATAAAATCATAAAGTTTAAAAAGGTTTGAAAGGTAGTGTGAATTCAACAAAAGTGGATGCATGAATTAACTCTTTATTGCAATCAACAAATATACATCAGAGGTTTAGAAAGGATAGATGTACTCTTTGCTGCTTTACTGTTGTTCTGTCCAAGCTCAATTCTAGCTAGCTCTGGATCCTTATACTTTATACAGCTTATTTGTCAGCTGCTTTGCATTAAAGAGCATACTAAATGAATAAATGCAAATATAATTGTCAATAGATCATCATCAGCACTTACCTCACTGCATTCCTCAAGGTCCAGCAGATGGAAGCTCCTGAGCCAAATGCCAGGCTCCTCGTCCATCTGCACATCCACATGATGCCCAATCTGGCACAGCAGATGCCTCATTCGTCCAAATCGCGCCCGCAGACCCTTCTCTCCACCAGACACCACCAGAGAGGACCTCATCCTCCACTCGAATCATACACCAACTTCCTCCAAGAGCAGCAGATACATGTCAGGAATGTTATTTGGCTTCAACAAGCATTCAGTAACAGAAGTGTACACTCTAAAAAATGCTGGGTTAAATACAACCCAGTGCTGGGTAAAATAGGGACAAACCCAGCAATTGGACTGTTCTGACCCAGTGGTTGGGTTAAATGTTTAACCCAAACTTCTGGGTAGTAACCCAACCGCTGGGTCAAAACAACCCAATTGCTGGGTTTGTCCCTATTTTACCCAGCACTGGGTTGTATTTAACCCAGCATTTTTTAGAGTGTAGAGCTTCTACTTTGATTAGCAAATTTCCTAACTAATATCTAACTTAATAAATAGTTAAATAACTATAACAAATAAATCAATACATACAAACATATTTCTTATTCATTTTATGATGTAACATTGTTTGAAATTTTTACTAATTTTATTTATTTATTTTTTATTTTTTTTTAAATTAGTAAAATTAAGTAATTCAGTAAAATTACGTGTAATAAATCTAGGAAGTCAAACTTCCTAGGAGAGACTGTACTCTAAAAGTTTTTATTCTTAAAATTTAATTTAATTTTATTCCTCCAAGATCAGCAGATACATGTCAGTCATATTATAAAACTTTAACGTGCATTCAGCAGTGTTATTTAGTATCATTGAGATACTATTGTAAATTTTATTAATATTCTGTTTTGATTTTTGTTTTGATTTTTAGATTTTCCATTGAATTTTTAAAGTTTTTTGTAACTTTGTTGCACATTTGTCTAATTTTTAGTACTTTTTGTTTATTTTTATATATATATATGTCTATTTGGTTTTTATTCATTTTATTTTAGTTTTAGTTATTTGAGTACATCAACTGAAATACAATATAATGAGAAATGTTACCCTGGCAAGTTCAACTAGATAAAATATAAATTTTTTGTTTTATATTTTATTTTGTTTCATTTAACGTTTTATTTCAAGTAACTTATTTAACTATAAACTAAAGTACAATAGGGAGTAAGACTGAGGAAATAACACTGTAAAGGTCTTATGTCTCTAATCTCTTATGTCAGGTCTTAAGGTTTCTAAGTTTTTAGGAATAAGAAGTTTTATTTTATTTTATAATTTATTGTAGGCTAATGGAATTATGTAAATAAATGAACCATATAACTGTAAAGTAATTTTCCTATTATATTTTATTTATATAAATAATATAATCATATAATATTGGATATTGTTAACAATCATATATGTAATTTTTTCCATTTAAAATAACAGAATTAATTGTTTGGAATTTGAGAGACTTTATAAAGCAGCATTAAAGGGTTAGTTCACCCAAAAATGAAAATTAGCCCATAAATTACTCACCCACAAGTCATCCTAGGTGTATATGACTTTCTTCTTTCAGACGAATCCAGTCGGAGTTATATTAAAAACAAAGTCCTCCTGTAGCGAATCGATGCGTTTTTGTAAGAAAAATAACCATATTTAAAATGTAATAATCACTTGAATCTAGCTTGCAATCACTGTTGTACACTGGAACATTTTTTTTATGGATGGGCGCTTTTTATTTAACTTCTTTTGGACTGATGCACTGCAACACCCGCTGAGTGCCATTAAACAGACAATTTTTTATATAACATCCTTTAATATATGGATGACTTGAGGGTGAGTAATTTATGGGCTAATTTTCATTTTTGGGTGAACTAATCCTTTAACTCCAGTGAAACACAGAATGAGCTACTCACTGTGGATGATGCTCCTTATCCAGTGTCTGTTCGTGGTGGATCAGCTCCTAAAAATCCATGCTTGAACTCTGCTAAAACCAGGAGAGGGGATGCCATGACCTTCCAGAATGATCCTTCATGATCTGATGCAGAAAACTGAACACTGTCTGATGTCTTCAGCAGAAGTGACTGTCATCTAAACTCTAGTAACCCTGCATTTCTCCTCCGTCCATCTGATTCTCTCTCCATGCTGACAAACACGCACAAACTCACACAATAATCTGATTGTTACACAAACTAATGGGCTGTCAATTCAGTTTATTCCACCCAGTGCTCTTTTGTTGTACATAATTAGCAGTAATAGTACAGCTCATTGTTCTTGTTTGTCAGTGAATAAACTAGTAAAAGTGCACAATGTGAAGCATATAAAACGTTTAATAAATGAAATACCAAAAACACAGAAGTAAAAGATGATGATTACTCCAAAAGAGAGCGTGACCACGTGTTCTACAAAGGGCACTAATATCACAACATAGACTAAAACTGATTTTCAAACTGTTCTGAACGACACGTAATAATAATTGACAAAACATTGTCTTATGACCATCAAATATTTGCCCGAGTGATAGCAGAAACCCTGAAACACATTAAATAGCGTTCAATTTCAAACACACGCAGATCTCACCGTGGTAAACAAAGAAACAGGCCTGCTTTTTCAGATTTCCAATCCATACCGCCTCCTCCTTTTAACTTATTTTCGAACACAGGAGCGCGTCCTAATAGCAAAACTCACTTCTGTTTTGAAATTCGGCAAAGAAACGATCAAACTTTGACGCTCATACGAAGTAAAATCCTGCGGTTGTTGTGCGTGTACGTGAACCTCGCTCGGTTGCCAGACTGCAAAGGTAAGATGTTATGAAATAGCAGAGAAAATGTCAGAGTTGCTCATTAAGTGTATGATTCAGATTGTTACAAAACAATGTATTCATATACTGAATCACAACCATGGTAATGGCTCTGAGATATTTCTTATTGACTTTTACACATGAGTGTTTCTTTCTTTGTTGGAATGGCTTTTAATATCTATTGCCTGTGTGATTTTACAATTTTCTAGCAACAAACATGAATTGAATGTCAAAATTAATGTAGCTGTAAAATTTTAGGTAAATAATAATAATAAATAAATAAATAAAACAAGCTACTTGTCATGCTAAGTCAGTTTTATGTTAGATAATTATCAACAGTTCCTTTAATGCCTTTTTTAAAGAGGCCACCAAAAGTATCCCATATTTGTGGAATGTGGCATTTACCAAAAAGCTTTGTTTAAATAAATGGCACACAGACACGTTTGTGTGTAAGAGTCTCGAATCCCTGTTGAAAAAAACAGCATGCTGGTTAGTTTTGAAGAATGGCTGCTGGTTTGAGCTGGTCATGAGTTTCTAAGCAACTAGCTCCTGCTCAGGACCAGCACTTGACCAGCTTAAACCAGCTCAAACCAGCAGCCATGCTTCAAAACATGCCTATGCTGTTTTTTTCAACAGGGATGTGAGGTTCATGCACAAGTGTGATCATCAAAACTAATGAATATGTGATAATTATAAATGACTTCATTACACTAACTAGCCTGTGATTCCTCTGCAACATTTGATATATTGTTTATGTAATCTTACGGATTTAGTATGGTAGAGAGAACAGAAAACCAACTAACTTACAGACAAATCAGAAATAAAACTGTTTTCTCAGCAGTGATTTCAGTTGTTAATAAATAGCTGTAATTTACAATTGTGAACAAATATTCATTAATTCATGTTGATAATTACAGAAGCCAGAAATAGAGACACAATGGGGATGATAAAACCATGGCATGCACAGAAAGGACCATCGATTATAACTATATTATCTCTTAAGTGCATGTTTCAGTGCTAATGTCAGCTATGCCTTATGAAACACACACACCCTCTCTCTCACACTGGTGTACAGCTCAGCCGTTTACACTATTATCTGCTTCAGTGCCTTCAGAGTCTTATATAACAAGGTCAGGAAGGGTAAATGATATAGACAGTGAACCTGTACAAGGAAATGTCATTATGCATAACTTTGCTATAAGAATATTAATGATAAGAATCCCATTCGTAAAGTAGGTCTGTGATCATGTGTTGTTATGAAGCAATTCTCATAAGGAATTTGGTCTTAAAAGGAGGAAAATGTTAATATTTTGTTATGAAAACATAATATTTGAGCATAAAGAGTTAAGTACAATGCTTTAGGATTGATGTCAAATTGTTGATAAAGAGCTTAAATGCCTTCAGTGAACTCAAGGTCTTCATTTTCCTGCTGGTTTTGATTTTTTATTTAATTATGTACTATTCCAGTGGTGGCGAACGTCAGTCCTGGAGAGCCGCAGCCCTGCAGAGTTTTGCTTCAACCCTGATCAAACACACCTGAACAAGCTAATCAAGGTCTGAAGGGTTACTAGAAAGCTACAGGCAGGTGAGGTTTAATTAGGGTTGGAGCTGAACTCTGCAGGGCTGCGGCTCTCCAGGACCGGAGTTCGCCACCGCTGTACTATTCTATTCAAAACTTTACACTATACACTACCTTTCAAAAGTTTGTAGTTGTTTTTAAATGTTTTTGAAAGAAGTCTCACAAAGGCTGCTTTCCTTCCTTCTTTCAGTCATTTATAAAAATAGTAATATTTCAACATTTTATTACAAATCTATTTGAATATATAGACTATTTCTGAATATCTGCTGAATTTTCAGCATCATTACTCCAGTCTTCAGTGTCACATGATCCTTCAGAAATCATGCTATGCTGATTTGCTGCTCAAGAAACATTTATTATGAAAACATTTGTACTTTTTAATGTTTTTGTGGAAACTGTCATACATTTTTCCCAAGATTCTTTAATGAATAGAACATTCAAAAGCACAGCAATTATTTGAATCATTTGTAACACTATAAATGTCACTGACAGCGTACATGTATCAATGGAGGGATCCACAGGACATTTTTCAAATTCTGTGCTGAGATGGAATCTCTAGGTGCGTTCAGCTTGAAGCGCAGCTACAGACAGCAGTCAACGAGAGTAGCCGCTTGCAGTCGGGGGCGGAGTTGAAAACGGAGCCATCAAGTCGGACACTTTCTGCTCCCAATAGTGACGCTCGCGCAGTGTTTGCATACTCTGTCCAGGGCCGTCCTTAGCTGACGCGGGGCCCGGTGCGAGTTAGGGAGCGGGGCCCCCCTCGGTCCATTAGCGATCGCGTTCCGGGGGCGGGGTTGGGGGGGTTTTGGGTTTTCCCCCTCGGTCCGTTCGCCGCGGGGCCCCCTCAAAGTGCGGGGCAAGGACGGCCCTGACTCTGTCACAGATGAAGTGAATTAAATGCAATATTTGTCAAATACACAGACGTTTCAGAAACGTTTTCACGAGCAACAGAAACACTTTTTATATACTGTTTAATACAACGCCATCTGTTCAAGAATAAAGTTCAACATAATCATATACAATTTAAATACGAATAAAGTGGGGGTAAATATGCTTTTATCAGTGTTTTATGATAACGTGACTCAATATAACATTGCAACTACAGTAAAAAAGCTTTTACTGATCTAAAACAAGATGTTAGAAACACACGTCATTGTTGTCATGTGGTGAATCTGGCCAATCGTGAAACAGATGTGTCATCATCAGAGCTCCTGCAGCTGCTCTGAAAAAGCTGCGCCAGCTGAGTCAGTTGGCTGCTCTCGAAACGCTATCGCGGTACTTTGATGCCACACGTGATAGTGACGTCGGCGGTGGTTCAAGTCGGACAAAATTTCTAACCGGCATGCACTGCTTGAAGTCAGCCGCCGATCAGTCTGCGCAGCGCTGCATGAAGTCGAACGCACCTGTTATCTTCAACAGGTGTCACGTTAGGCCGGGCATACACTGCGATTTCCGTGCGATTTCATCAAGGTATCAACTCACACACTGTATGGTCCGATTGTTGAGCACGATTTATGTGCTCACACTATACGTGTGAAATACTCAAAATGCGCAGACGATAACCGTGTATATGGACGATAGCCAGAGATATCTAAAAAAAAAAATAATTATTACCATTGCTATTATCAGCTGTGCAATACCCTCACGAGGGGCGACCAGAAATTGTCAGAAATTCATCCGACCATCCGATTGCCTGTCGGGAGAGACTTATCGCTTCTCGTTTCCCCCTGTACACTGCACGACAAACGACGCACGACAAAGCTGAAATTCGGCCCGACTCAAAAAAGAGTCGCACGAGTCAGAATTCGGCTCAAAATCGGACAAAAATCGCACAGTGTATGCCCGGCTTAATACATTTATTGAAATCAAACTACATTAGCTCAATAATTCGTTTATTTTCTTAAGCATGAATGTGCAGACGAATGGAGATAAAGCTTCCAGGAAGTGTGTTGCTACAGCTGATCATGTTTTAAAATTGGTCTCTCTTCTTTTTACTGGATCAGATCAGAGTTGGCCTTTCCTCTTTTTGATGCGAGTCTTCCTCCTGGTGTTTGCGTCAATGATTGACTGTGACTGGTGCTTCAGTGTGACACGGTTGGTGACATCACCGTCATCAACGCCGCTGTCCTCCTCATCTGTTGACAGAAAAGACATGCAGGTGTGTAAGATGTGCGTCACCTTTCTCTGCTAAACCTATCAGTTCTGTTATTGTTTCTTATACATATGGATCAACAGCAGGCCCGGTTCTTGACGGCTATAGAAGGGTGGGCTGGCAGATATCCTGGGTGGGCATTTTTAGTCGTCATATCATCACGTAGTCTAGAAGATATTTATACTGTACATATTGCTATATTGACTATATTATATGTACACTGAAAAAAGCTTTCATGGGCAGCCTAGAATATCATGCACTTTCACAGTCAAATAAACTTTTTTTTCTTTATTGAATAGTAAAAAAAAGCCCTCTTTGTTCTCTTTCTCTGGATCATTGTTTCTACACTGGTGACTCTTTTCAACTAACTTTTTTATTAAACCAAACAAGGCTCATGTCTAGAACATTGGAGGGACCAATTGTTAATTGTTGGAAAATATAAAGACCAGACCACTATGGTAATAGTATTTATTTAAAGAATCTAAATAAATAAAGGATTTAAATGGATTTAGGGGAATAAATTAAAAAAGAAAAAAGTACAGTAAAAGAACAAGAATAATAATTTTTGTAAAGTAATCAATCTGAACTGCAAATAATATTTTTATTTTAAAATATGCACCAATTCAATTTCAGTTGTAGGCCTATTGTTGAAAACGCAAAACAGAACAATGCTATTGTCATCATAATCAATTATAAATTGATTATTATTATAAACAGACCTACTTTCCATTCAAAACCGTGGAATTTGACAAAAAAAAGGTTGAATAGTTTGCATCACTGGATATTGTTGGTCGTTTATGTCGGGGAACGCTATACAGTCGAGCTGACTCTTGCAACGAACGCAACTTTCACCGCACAAGCTCTTTACTTTCAGTTTTCATTCTTACATAAAGCATTAACAGCAATCCAAAAGGGGTAAGCTTTCAACTGAACTGTATAGTCTACATGCATTTTAGATGCTTATATTATGCTCTTGCCCCGTCCATGCACATTAGGCTATTATATGAGCAGGTTTTTTAAAACATTAAAACCACTCAGTGGTAGGCTATGATACATCTATTCATGTAGCCTATTAAACTCCCCGTAACTCACAAACTCCCTGTGATAGCGCGCAAATATTTCTGCCCGTTTTCGCTAGTTGTCAGCCTCTGCTGCATTTCTGCAACAGACTGAATCTCCGCGTGAATTCAGCACACCTTGCATTCAGCTAATAAAAGAAAAATGCTGCAATTTTCTGGTGTTATTTTATTATTGTTGGGGCAGTCTACAGCTATATCTTAAACTTCTTAAAATACAGTCCACTTCAGATTGATTTTGATCATTGCATAAAAAAAATTAACGCAATCTTTATCTAATCCTGATTGGGTGGGCAAGACTGTCATTTGGTTGGGCTTAGCCCACCCCTGCCCATGCCTGGAGCCTGCCCCAATCAACAGCATCCTTAGAGTAGACACAATCGCACGTGAAGGTGATCTGACTCCTAACATCTTAACAAATCCACCAACACTGTGTACACCAGGAGGGTGAGCTTCTAAGTACCACACAGTGTACAGACAGAAGAAAGTACTAGATCAAGAGATAAGAGCACAGGTTGAACATCTTGATAAGAGGATGCTTTTGAACTGTGTGAACCAGAGTAAAAACACATGGCCATGCCTGCTCAAGAACTTTCCAAGTTCACATCTAAGATCTAAGATAAGGAAACGGGATTGAAACAAGCTTAAAACGCAAATATTATGTTAAGTTTGTAGAGGTATGTAATCTTTGTATCCATGTTGGTTTCATATGGTTTTAAAAATCTTTTGTACAATTTTCAACAAAAAAGTTTAAATTTATGTGGTGTGTCATGTTGTCACGAATTCGGTCCATGGACTTCCGTTTATTCACCACCAGAGGTCACCCTTTCCATTACATTGACTCTCGCACAACACAAACTGTTGCATAGCACCCCGGACTACATATCCCATCATTCTTTGCACGATTTGCACACTGCACTGATTGCACTCATTGCACACAGCTGTTTCTAATCACCTCACTCACTATATAACACCCACTCTAACCACCTTTCTCTGCTGAGTATTGTTTAGCCCGTACCCCATTCCGAGTCTCTGAGTTTTCCTTGTTTTTGCCTTGCCTTGCCTGTTTTCGCGGTTTCTGATCTTTGCCTGTTTTTCTGGATTTTTCCCTCTCGTCTCACCCCTGTGATTCTGTCTGCCGATCGGTGACCTACGCTAGCCCTGGGACTATTCTTGTGTTTTGCCCGCCATATACCTGTTTGCCATTGTTTGACCCTGCCTGTTTACCACTTCTCTTTAATAAAGCCTGCAGATGGATCCACACGTCTCACGTCTCGTCAGCCCCGTTACACATGTGGTGTAACCATCAAATAAAAACTAACATATTTTCCTTACTCTTTGAAGCAATGTGATCTTAAATACAAAATTGTTATAATTATTAATAGTAAATATCATTAAGTAAGGTTTTCTTTTTTCTTATATTGAGTTTTTCATTTATTTTTTTACATAATATCAAGACATCATCCTGATATTTGCGACATCGACATTTTAATGATCTATTTTTGTATTTTTTTATCTCATAATTATTACTTAGTATTTCATAATTTTGACTTTTTATGTCATATTTGACTTTTTTTTCCATACCAAAGCATGATTTTTTTTCTTATGTGGCTGAAATGGGATGCCATGGAAATATGAGGTAGTGTCTCACCATCAAAAAAGTCCTGTTTCTGGGTCTCAGGTAGCTGAATGCGAGTGTTGTACTGTGGTAGTTTCCCTGCTATTCTGGCATGGAACTGCAGGGGAGCATAAAAAAACAACAGTAAAATATTATTAAAGGTTATTTTATAGATTGCAAAAAATAAAATATGCCACATATTCCTACAGTAAACAAAACAGTTAAAGTAACATAATAATTATGTTTCACCAGTGACACATCTTCAACAAGCCAAAATATAATTACACCAACATGACTAATCAGTGTTCCTCACCTCTTCTTTCTCCAGCTCCTTCACGATGGTTGCCAGATCTTTGCCCTGTAGTTCCTCCTTTAGCAGCATCAGTTTCTGGTCAGCCTCAGACATCAGCTGCAGCATGTGTTCTAAAGGCAGCTGTGGTGATGGATCCTTCATCTGCCAAAAACCATGGAAAATACTTACAATAATGATATTTATAATTTCTGCTCAGTTACATATATTTCGTGAATACATCCCTGAAAGGTAAAAACTGTTCCTTAAAGGGGAAGTCGTGGCCTAATGGTTAGAGAGTCGGACTCGTAACCCAAAGGTTGCGGGTTTGAGTCTCGTACCGGCAGGGATTGTAGGTGGGGGGAGGGAATGTACAGCGCTCTCTCCCACCTTCAAAACCACGACTGAGGTTCCCTTGAGCAAGGCACCGAACCCCCAACTGCTCCCCGGGCGCCGCAGCAAAAATGGCTGCCCACTGCTCCGGGTGTGTGTTCACGGTGTGTGTGTGTTCACTGCTGTGTGTGTGCACTTTGGAGGGGTTAAATGCAGAGCACTAATTCCAAGTATGGGTCACCATCACTTGGCCACATGTCACGTCACTTTCACTTTCTTTTTAATCACAAACCACAGAGAAAACATCTATGGTCACTTTTAATGAATAATTCTTATATATTACAGTTCACAATTTTGGGGGCAGATTTCAGATTTTTTTTTAAATAAAGTAATACTTTTATTAAGCAAGGACACATTAAAATGATCAAATATGAAACAAAATATTATATACAAAATATTTCTATTTCAAATAAATGCTGTGCTTTTCAACTTTCTATTCATCAAATAATACATATTATGCACAACATAATATTTTATGTTGTTTATTATCAGTTTTAACACTGATAATAAGAAAAGGTTTTTGAGCACCAAATCAATATATTAGAATGATTTCTAAAGGATCGTGTGACACTGAAGACTAAAGTAATGGCTGCTGAAAATTCAGCTTGGCATAACAGGAATAAATTACATTTTTAAATATATTAAAATCGAAAATGGTTATTTTAAATTATATATATCACAATATTATTATTTTACTGTGTTTTTGATCTAAAAATGCAGCCGTTGTGGGCATAAGAGACCTTCAAAAACATTTAAAAAATCTTACTGACCCAAAACTTTTGAACGGTAGTGTACATAACAGTATGATGTGCTATTAAACATACTGTAACTTTTAGAAGTCCTGTACCAGAATTAAAATACATTCATTAAACTGCAACTGTATGTAGTATTACTACTCATTTGACATGCGAATAGGTTAGTCAATCATAACGGAGTCTTTAAAGGGTTTGTTCACCCAAAAATTAAAATTGGCTTATGTTTTACTCACCCTCGAAGCATCCTAGGTGTATATGAATTTCTTCTTTCAGACGAATCCAGTCGGAGTTATATTAAAAATTGTCCTGGCTATTCCAAGCTCTATCATTGCAGTCAGCGGCTGTTGTAGTTGAACAGTCCACAAGTCGTCAAATAAAGCTCGCGCATTCATAATAAAACGTGCTTCACACGGCTCCAGGGGATGAATAAAGGCCTTCTGTAGTGAATCTATGCATTTTTGTAAGAAATATATCCATATTTCAAATGTAATAAACACTTTTATATCATTTCCTCCAACTGTCATAGTCGGAAGCTGTGCCGGCGGATGTCGTAGCACGTCAGCGTTGCGTGATTAGTGACGAACGCAGAGAGACAACAAAACAAAACGCCGGTCACAAATTAGAAGTACAAACCGAAGATTTGCAAAGAAAAATGTCGGAGGATTTCGATATAAGCCAAGAGGAGACTGGTTTTCCTTTGCTAAAGTAAGGAAACTTTGCTTCCTTTGCTCCCATAAACAAACTCGTGAGACTAGCATATCTCAGAGGCGCGTGCGCTGCGCATACGTCATACGCCTTCCGCCGGAACACCTTCCGCATATGAAAGATAACGGAAGTGAGAGAAAAGTGTTTATTACGTTTGAAATATGGATATTTTTCTTACAAAAACGCATGGATTCACTACAGAAGGCCTTTATTCACCCCCCGGAGCCGTGTGAAGCACGTTTTATTATGAATGTGCGCGCTATATTTGACGACTTGTGGACTGTTCAACTACAACAGCCGCTGACTGCAATGATAGAGCTTGGAATAGCCAGGACAATTTTTAATATAACTCCGACTTGATTCGTCTGAAAGAAGAAAGTCATATACACCTAGGATGCTTCGAGGGTGAGTAAAACACAAGCCAATTTTCATTTTTGGGTGAACTAACCCTTTAAATGTACTTTCGCTAACAGTCTGTTTCGATTTAAGGGTTAGAGAGGGTGGAAAAGGTCAAATAAATTACAAATAAATTAAACTGTTATTGGTGTAAGAAACCTTGACTAACATTATAAATGGACCTCAGGGAAGAAAATCAAGTTTGAACAAAAGGTTTTGACCCCTTTAAGTTCTAGGAAACTACATAGAAATCTAAAATTCTTAGAAACCTTATATTAAAAACACATCATTACCCAGGTGACGAAAAGGCATGTTTTGTGGAGCATGTTTAACAGATTTGACAGAATTCATTAGTACCAGGGGTATGGGCTGTAGTTTGTCACTGAGCTGCTGCACTCCTGCTTTGACAGTGTTTAGTGTATGTGTGAGTCTCTCCAGGCCATCTTTAGCTGCATCACAATGCTGCTGCTCCTGCTGCAAGTCATGCTCACAGTCCTGCAGGATCTGTCGGACACTGAACAATCAAAAAGAGAATTAAGAGAGCTAACCGATGACAATAAAGTTATTATATCATGCCATTGAGAAAATGTAATGGTTAGACCAGAGCATTCAGTCACAATAACAGAGCGTCAAGTGATACCACAGTATTCATACAACATACACAATGTCTGCTCTCACCTTGAGAATTCAGTTTCTCGTGAGTATTTTACATCCTGATACTGAGTCTGTGACATACTCCTCTCTTCCTTCAGTTCAAGCAGCATTCTCTCATTTTCAGCCTTCATCTTCTCCAAATGTTCCTGTCTCTCCCTGAGAGATAAACCTGTCCACTATTTCCTATTATAAGAGATATCATGAATAAACATTGCTCAACACAAGAAGTTCTTACCTGAACATAAAGAATCTATATACATTTAAAACAATTTAAAGGTGATAAATAAAAAAAAGAGTATTCTTTATGGGTTTAATCCTGTAAAGCCTGTCATATAAATCAATCTTTTTTTTTTTAAATAGAAGTTTATTGAAGATTTAGACAAAATATTAAATAAGTTTGTTGATGTGTTTTTGCTGTTTATCATATTTGATTGTTATGGCTCATATAGTATGATATAGTGAGAATATGGAGGTCATATTTAAGGAGGAAAAACACTTTACAATTTAGTGCATTCCTGATATTTATATGGCCAAAAATTCTGACAGCTCGTAATGTACAGTAAATCCATGAGATCTTTATAACAGTATAACAGACTACTTACTTAAAATTATATAAATATTAGTTTTCAGTCTATTTCTCCCAATGATATGTCTTAGTAAGATGTTATTCAAATGCTTAGTTTTATGTTGAAAGCTCTTTAGTTTTAAAACATAATGCAATACAATCCTCAAAAGCCTGATGGGTCATAATTGTTACTCACATTTTAATGATTTTTCTAAAAAAAAAAAAAAAAAAAGTGCTGTATGGAAGTTAACCTAAGTTGCATCAGTCCGGTAAGTGTTCATTGTAAAATATTACTATCAATATAAAAAAGTTTTGATCATGTTGATAATTTTGTATATCAAATATATGATACAGTAGACTTCATAGGGTTAATACTGTCTGCCCTCACCTGTGAGTCTGTGACTCCAGTGGCCTCTTTGGCGTGCTGGAAAGCTTCCTCAAAAGTAGAGATGGATTCTTCTTCTTCCTCTCCTACTGTGGTGGGAGTGCGCGGGGCCTCACTGCTCAGCTCATCAGGGTTCATGGACACCCACTGGGGCTGGATGTGTCAGATGGGGGAGAGATGGTTGGTTAAACTTGACAAAAACGATCTAAGAGACTTACTTTTGGCCGAACAGAGAAGGCAAAATAAATGTTGAAAAAGATTATAATACTTATAATTATTAAAAGTAGTAAAAAACAGTATTTTAACCAATATTTGGGTTGTGAGCTTAGCAACATGCTCTCACCATCAATTGCGAGAACTGCAGTCTCCTGTGCACTTCACATGAGAAGCGCTTTGAGTATAACATATTTTTATGCTAGTAGAGTATTGCATTGCTAGCTGTATTATAGTTGCTGTAGATATAATTGCAGCAGATGATGCTCACTCTTCTCTTCATCCTCTCTGCCTGAGCCATCCTCTCCTCTGCCTGATTTTTGTATCGGGAGAGGATTTTCTCTCTTTCTCTGCGCTCTCGGTACACCTGCTCCTCCTGAAGCTGCAGCTCAGCCTGAAAACACACACACACACACACACACACATTACTAGCAGCATCATATTTGGATGACCTTTACTTTGGCATACTTGCACATATGCTTTATTATCTCATTAAAATTTTCAATTATTCATTAAATGCTTTGTCTTTACCTTGGCTGCATCCTTGAACAGGAGAATGTTGTTGTTCATGACCTGTAGGTCTCTGAGCACTTGTGTCTGCCAATAGACCTCTGTCTCCATCTTGTCCAGCTGAGGTTGAAATGTAAGACTCTCTTCCTGAAGAAACAGAACAGAGTATAATTAGAAATGTCAATGGGATTGGTAAGATGTTTTAATGTTTTTGAAAGTTTCTTATGCTTACTAAGGCTGTATTTATTTGATCAAAAATACAATAAAAACGGTAAATGATATTGTAACATATTTAAATAATTGCATAAATAATTGGCTTCTTTTTTCCCATTTCCTTTATGAGGTATTGTGCTTTATACACAACATCGTGGGTTTATTGTGCTGTGTCTTTAGCTGCTCTGATACCTGTAGGTGCTCCTTCAGCTTGCTGTATCCTCGCGTTATGTGCACTGCTTCATGGTATTTCAGCTGTGATTTCTCCAAACTGTTTTCCAGAATGCGCAGTTTCTGTTCAACAGGTACACAATAATAATATCTTGGACAAATATTTTTTAAGATTCATCAATGTTCATTCAAAATGCCCAGAAAAAAAAGACAATTTCTACCTTTTCCTCCTCTCCTTTCTGGGTGTCAGGCAAAGGACTACTGTTCTGTGGCTTAAATATCAGGAACTTCAAGTCCTCTAAATGCTGCCTCTGTGTCTTAGTGGTGTGTTTCATAGCATTCTGCTTCTTCATTTTATCACACACCTGCTTCTTCAGCACCGTCTGAGTTGCCTGCACAACAAAGACCTCTGTCAATAGTGAGGAGAGTCTAAAACAACTTTCTGGACCACAAATTATATGCAGGTGATTATGTAACTATGAGCTATTTACCGGGCTCTTGCCAGCAGTGAATTTTTTATTTTTATTTTTTTTAATTTGTAGTAAATAACTTAAATAGATACACTGTACAAAACATTAATTTTTTTAAATATTTTTTTTTTATTTGTAGTAAGAAATGTACTGTCCAAAACATTCAGTTATTGTTTCATAAATATTCCACATATTTGTAATTTGATTTTTTTAAGTACTTCTTGAATCATCCACACATTGATTTCCATAAAGAAATGTCTCAACCAAAAAATGAAAATGTGCTTAAAATTGACCCACCTTCAGGCAATCCAAGATGTAGATGAGTTTGTTTTGCTAGATTTGGAGAAATTTACCATTACAGTACATCACTTGCTCACCAGTGGATCCTCTGCAGTGAATGGGTGCCGTCAGAATGAGAGTCTAAATTCACAAGGAATCCACAAGACTCCAGTCCATCAGTTAACACCTAATGAAATAAAAAATGTATCATTAAGGTATTTTAAATTTAAACTGTCACGTCTGGCCAAAATATGAGTCCATAATCCATAACTCATTCTCCAGTGAAAAAGTCTTATCACATCAACATCTGCCAACACCTGCTTTGGAATGTTTTTTTCTTCTTCTTTTAAATGGTGCTTGATCTTTGAATATTTCTCTCCTGATTCAGACGAGACCATTTCTTACTGGAGAAAGCAATATTATAGATAGAGGACTCGTATTTTAGTCAGAAGAAACAGTTTGAAGTTAAAAATGTCTTGATGGATTTATCACAAACACACAGATTTTTACTGCGGACTGGAGTCATATGGATTACTGTGATGTTTTTATCAGCTGTTTGGACTCTCATTCTAACGGCACCTATTCACTGCAGAGGATCCATTGGTGAGCAAGTGATGTACTCTTAAATTTCTGTTCTGACGAAGAAACAACCTTGGATGGCATACATTTACATTTTTGGGCAAACCATTTAACCTCACCTTCACAGACATGTTCCTGAAAGATTCTTTCTCCATCCCATGGCCTTGAAAAACATCCTTGATAACTTGTTCATCTCCCTGGACACCATGACCAATGGATGCATCAATACATATCAATACATATGTTAAACCTATACTTTAAATGATGGCTTAATTGTAATTATTATTTATGTGTTTTATGACCTCGTGCTGTTTCTTGTGCAGGTTTGCATTCCCAAGTCTCAGCTGCAGGATAGTTTCTATGTTCTTGGCAGACTGAGAGTTTTCGATATGTGCTATCGAATAGTCTCCATCTAGTGGACAGTGGGGAAAAAAAACAATTCATCGAGCAAAATGTGAAGTTGAGTGTAATGTCATGCAACATTAAATTTCTGTAAACAATTTTATTGAGCTGTTTCATTTAAAATTAATACAAAGGTATTAAACCGTTACAAAACCACTTCAATAACTCCAAGTTGACTGCTTGCATCCTCGAGAATAAATAATTAATGATGAAAATAATAATAAAACAATGGAAACATTACTCCACAAACGTTAACTTACATTACTTCCGCAACTTAACCGCTTCAGCTTAAACGGTGAAATCCACAATAAAAACTTACTCAGAAGATGCATTTTTCTTTGGAGCTCCGAAATTTCATCATGGGTAGGGGGCTCGATGTCCTCTGAGACAGACGTGGCGGGCATTTTTATGAACATTTATTATATTGGTGTTTATAGATGGATTTCTTTCCCCACTATAGCCTTGCCCACAAGAGCCTCGTTTGTGTTTTCAACTGGTTGCCTAGTAACTGAACCAAGTATCGTTGTCTCATGAATATTAAGTTACGTATTATTACGCCCCGGAAAATAATACATTACGTTCTTGACCTAATTAATATTTATTAGTTCTCCCCAACATCACAGATTTACACTCCGCAACAAACAATACAAGTAGTAACACAAAAATGGCTACGTCAAATGGACGCACTGAAAAACACTGCAGAAACATATCAAAATTACATTTCATTATATTCAAACGTTGTCAGGTATAAAAATGGTTATCATTAACTGTCATCACGAGAATAGGCCTAACGCATTTAAAGTAATTCAGTAACAAGAGACATTCAAAGGAAACTGAAAAAGATATTAGGACAGTTGTGCCTAGTCTAATAAAGCATAATGTATACAAATACAATCCCATGTAATAAGCAAAAACAAAAGTAACAAATATGTAACACTTTTGGCTGTAATGACTGTAATCACTGGTGCCTGGGCTATAAAATCAGTGCAAGTATGGCAAATATCTCTATTTTTCTGTCCCTACACTTCTTTGTTTCTCTATAAACCTTTCCTTCTTTCCTTAGTCCACTGTTTTCACCCCCTCATTGGACTTCTTGAGGATGGAGAGCAGTCTCTCTGGCATGAAGTATGGTCTGTCCGCTGTGCCATCATTGCGTTCCAGATCCTCCACTGTTGGAATAATTTAGGTTGAGACAAAAAATAGCACGAATCAGCATGAAACATGTGCCAAAATGTATAAATGGCAACAATAGTGGCAGTGCCTTGAAAGCAAAAAAAGGCTTGAGACCTCAACAAAGAGAGAGTTCGATTTATTAAAGCACTGGGAGATCACATTACCAACATGCAAAGATTGAGAAAAGTGAAGCACAGAGGTAGAAAAAGAGGCAACAGAGTGGCAAACAGCGACAAATATCAGGCATTGAAAAGGTTGCAATCTGTCGATACAATAACCAGTCACAGCAAACCAAAATAGAAGGGTGTTACATTTTTTTTTCTTTCTTTGATTGATTCGTTTTTAAGTTGACTTGCTTTCAGTGGCACTTTTTTAATTTTTTGTTCATCTGCATCATAAAATTATCACATTAGGGCATCAAATTAACACAATTTTCAAATACATTTGCACAAATTCTTACAAAATGACATTGTTTGGTCTTGGCTGGTATCACTGTAAACAGATGTTTTTTTGTTGTTGTTGCTGTAAACATAGCGATGCTGCAAAATCTTTTTGCATTCTTCAATATGATTAAGACATTGATAAGTAACGATATTTAGGCACAAGTCAAGCACCTACATTACACTTTTATATGTCCTTACATTAAAACGTTCCACATAAAACACAAACACAGTCACATTCTACAAGTGCTATGTAGGCATATCTAATAGGGTTTAGGTCCACATAACCAGTTGTCAATCAAACAGCTCATACTTCAAATACAAGCCTGTTTCTGTCCAATTTTGTGTCATGCCATTCATTATGACCAGTGATTATTGATTAAGAGACAGTTCTCAAAATTGATTGATTGAGTAAACATTATGACGCAAATGAAGGAGGTACTTTCCAATGTATACTAATGGCTTCTCAAAGCCACCAAAGTGCACCAGTTCCCAAATCAGTAGGCTTCTCTGAAACGTTTAACGACTCCACCTTCAGTTGTCCAGCTACTCCTGAGGGGTGAGCAGGGTCTCGCTCTCTTGAGGTCCGTTTTCTTGAGGCTTCGGTTCCTCTGGTTCCTGTTCTTGTTGGTTCTGGGCCTGTGGTGGTTCTGCTTGAGGTTGGGCCACCTGCTCCTCCTTGTCCTCAGCGTCCACCTCTTGGGGTCCGTTTTGTTGTGGGGTCACTTGTGGCGGTTCAGGCTCTTGGGTTGTAACCTGCTCTTCGGGTTTCTCCTCGTCGGCTGCGGGTGCCTCTGGAGGTTGTGTTTCTTGGGGCGGCTCTTCAACGTGCGTCTCCTGGTTTAGTGGCGTCTCTTCTTCCTGCTCCTGCTTTAGGACGCCCTGCTCTTTAAGCTGCACCTCTCCATTCTCCTGCAGCGGGATTTCCTCCTCGGCTTGCACGTGTACGACGGGTACATCGGCACGGTCCGTTTCCTCTGTGCTTTTTTCAATTGACAAAATCTGGTGCAGCTCGGGGGACATGAAAAACGGTTTTTCAGAGGAACCGTCATTTCTCTCCAGATCTTCACCTTGAGTTTTTTTATTTGCGTGTGATGGTTATTTTGAAATGTTAGTGTGTTGACAAAGCACGTAGCAGAAAGGAGCACAAGGACATGATTGGACAAAATCATGTTGAAGAGAGAAAAAGAGAGAGAAAGAAGGAAATGGTTAGACATGAAGCAAGCCAAAAGCCCCTGTAAGCATTTGTGATATGCAGATATGTCAACAGTGAGTCCCACAAGTAAAATCCCAGTCATTTTCTCCATACAGAAATGCCTTAAAGACAAACCATGAGCTCTGAGGAAACAATGATATGTGCTTCTGTAGAAGCCATAAATGTGATTTAAAAAAACGTGCTTAATAGCCAATTGAGAATTACATAACCTATGTCCTGAAAAAAGCTCCACCAATCAGAGAAGCCGCTGTTACCATGGAAATGGGAATGAGCAGTGATTGCCCACTCCTATGAATCAGTGTGGATGACAAAATCGGTTTTCTCTATACTCTCAAAAAACTTATGTATGGTATATATGGTTATATGATGGTATGGTATATAACTTATATGTATGGTATATATGTGACCCTGGACCACAAAACCAGTCATAAGGGTCAATTTTTCGAAATTGAAATTTATACATCATCTGAAAGTTGAATAAATAAGCTTTCCATTGATGTATGGTTTGGATAGGACAATATTTTTTAGGTAGGATGTTTATTAGGATAGGACAATATTTGGCCGAGATACTACTATCTGAAAATCTGGAATCTGAGGGTGCAAAAAAATCAAAATATTTATTTTTGGCTATTGCTACAAATATACCCCAGCGACTTAAGACTGGTTTTGTGGTCCAGGGTCACATATGGTTATATATGATCTGGTATATAACATAAATGTGACCATGGACCACAAATCCAGTCATAAGGGTAAATTTTTTGAAATTGAGATTGAATAAATAAACTTTCCATTGATGTATGGTTTGTTAGGATAGGACAATATTTGGCCGAGATACAACTATTTGA